CTATTATTGCTGTTGCTAATATTTAATATATCAGGCTCCTAAGTTATTTTCACATTTGGTCAAGTTGGACACAAGTGGGTTAATCAAGAGATTAAAGAAGGCTAATCTTAGGCTAATCTTAATGATGTTTAACTCCCCATCTTCCAACTCTACCTCATACAATTTATAATTGCATTCTTAAATTATATACATCTAATTACTGTTCTTTAAAGCTAAGACATCTTATCACTTCTATGGAATTAACCAGATAGTTTCCCAGAAGCTGTAAGTTTTCCTGAATATGTGTTTTTGGTGCCATGAGGCTAAATATAACTGGCCAATCTACTTGTAATACTGATATATACTAGAATGAAAATACCCACAAAGGCAGGGACTTTAACCTGTTTTGTTCACTGATACATCTCAAGTACCTAGAACAGGGCCTGTAACATAGTAGGTAGTCAATAAATATCTGTTGAACAAACCCACTCTACTGTCACTTATGCATCTCAGTACTTCATCCAATTTTTCTAATATTCTTCATGGAGTAGTAGTATTATCACTCAAACCTCAAAACAGTAAAGGGATAGCAAATATTTCTCTACAGACTCTACAGGGGATCAATAATAGAGGTCAAGTTGGAATTAAAGGATTCCTATCATCTTTTTATACGGCAATGCCAACTGCTCTAACAATCAAACAGACTATTCTGACAACAAGGAAAGAACTGGGTGGGAGCCAGATCTAACTGAGCCAGTAAGTTTTCTCTATCAATTTATTAAAATGTAACTTACTAAAAATGCAATTTATTAATTTGAGTCATGCCAGGAAAAATCTGATTTGTATTTATTTTTCTACCCAAAGATAAATTTGAACTCAAAATAATTAAATACAAATCATTTACCTCCAAGTATGATACTTTCAGAGTAAATTCGAAGTCACTCTTTTTATCAATTTCTTTGAAGAGCAGTTGTATTACCCTAGGAATGACCCCAACTGTTGGTTCATTTTCTTGCTCTGCAGTATAGGCACCTCCCATCGAATAGGTTTTTCCAGAGCCAGTCTGCCCATAGGCCAGGACGGTTGCATTGTATCCTGGCAAAATAGAAGTCACATGCATAGTGGTGCCCACATATTTTCATCCAATCAATATACTTTATTTCCTTCAGCAATTACTTGTGACAAAATTGAGACTGCTCTGTAAAGACAAGGGTCTCTTAGAAATGTCAGACACAAAGAAAAGTTATATGGGTGCCATGAGTTTGCACTACTCCAAATAAGGAAAGGGGAAAAATACCAACCCCAGGATGTATGCCTCTCTTGACAGCCCTTAAAAGCTAGGAAGTAAAACACTTAATATGACTGAGATAATGAAGGTGGCCAAGTGATTGTCTAAAACTCATTCAGAGCTTTATAAAGAATTAGTAGAATTAGAAGCTGCTTATTAAACAGAAGGGATTCCAACATATATTTCTTTAACAGTCTTCATTTGAAAAGGCAACAAAGTTGCTTTTTACAGTCAATGAAAGCATCCACTCCTTATTTGAATTCTCAGACTGCATTTGGACCATATTATCAGCCTCCTCACAGAAATGTCATCATTTAAGTATAATTTACATATATATATGTAATTTACATATATGTACTGTATAAAGTACATATCCTTTGCTTTTTTCCTTTTTGAAAGAACTTATTTGTCTAAATGATGTTCTAGGAGATGGTAAGATGTTAAATTGAGGTTTTCACTGTAATAGATTGCTAATATCACCTGGCCTGACTATGGGGCAAGAGAGTAACATTCCACAATCTTCTGCAAAACCACAGATATATATTCATAGTAATAACTAGGGAAATCAAGTTTCAGGACTTTTTACAAAAAACTTGGGGTGCCGTTGAGTTGACTGAAAAATACTGGCTTTATTTTTGCAACCGAGAGCAACGTTAAACAAATACGTATACATTGGAATCACTTTCTACTTTATATTGCCTCTAAAGACTATAATTTAATTCTCATAGTTTTCCAGGTTAAGAATATGAAAGTAGAACTATAGTGTTCTTACTAAGCTGTGAAGGTACATTCTGAGGAAAATGACAAGACAATGAAAGAATGTCTAAGGAATGTCTAAAGGAAAGGAGGGATGGTTAATTAGAATAGACTTCGACAGAATCAAATAATGGCCCTCCAAATATGTAAATAGGAAAAACATTAACTTTATAGTAGAGAAGCCTGGCAGATATCACCTTAATCAAATGATCAAAATGAACATCAGCAGTAATGGAACAAATCAAAATCGTGTGCTGCCCAGTAGGGTGAGAAGAATACAAAACCACTTCTGTGATATTGCTGCTGAAGATTACAACCTGAATCTAATCATAAATAAACATCAGACAAACCAAAACTGAAAAAGTTTACAAAATAACTGGCCTGTGATCTTCAAAAGTGTTATGATCATGAAAGTTAAAGAAAAAACTTGAAGGAGTTTTAGAATGAAGAATACAGAGGCAGTACAACTAAATACAACATACAACATATGATTTTGAACTAGATCCTTTTGCTATAAAGGACATTATTGGGACAATTGGTGAAACGTGAATGAGGTTTGAGGACTAGATGGTAGTGATCTAGCAATGGAAATTTCATGATTTTGATGGTTGTATTATAGTTTTGTAGGAGAAACTTCTTGTTTACAGCAAATATACACTGAAGTGTTCAGGGGGCCATTGGGTCAACAACTCACCTTAAATGGTTCAGGAAAAAAAAGTGCTTTATGCCATCCTTGCAACATTTCAATAAGTTTGAGATTATTGCTTTAATATTAAAATTAAATATTAATATTATATAACACAATATACAATAAACATATAAGCATATACTATGTAATAGTAACTTAATATTTAATAAAAATTTGAAACAAAATGTTCAATGTACCTTGAGCCATGACATCGTTTTTTAAAAAAGTGAAAAAAAATGTGAATAGCTGTTGCCTGGAAGAAAGCTTCTGTTTGTCCAGAGGGATGAACTAACATCACTGGGTAGAAATTATTGGGAAGCAAATTTCATCTCAATATAATCTAACACAATTATAATCTAACACAATTGGTCCCAAAACCAATCAACAGGACTACCTTGTGAGTCAGTGATATCCTTGTCAAAGAAAAATAATTTAAAGACATGCTGGAAGTTCACTTAACAGAGATATTGCTAGAAAGTATTTTTTTTGGGATGGAAAGTTAGATTAGATGATGTACAAATGTCCCTTTCATCTTTAAGGGACCAGTATGTCACAGTTCTGCTTCTTTTAAATAGTCTTCTGCTTTGAATCCTGAATAACTGCTGTGCTAGAATAACAATTAGACACATCTCAGGCACTGCTCCCCTCTTCAGAACCTTGCAGTGGTCTTCAATAACACAAAAGTTTTAGCTTCCACAATAAAGATTTTTAACTGGCCAGAGTATTCAGGGGCTTTAGGAAACCTAAATGAATTCTACTCATCATTCAAGACTTACCTCAAAGGTTCCCTATGTTGTGAAATTCAGCCCAAATGCCCCAAGCTGAGTTAGTGTCACCCTTTTTGTTTTTATCCCATTTTGTATGAAAGCACTACTATTTCTATAGCAGGACTGATTCTATTGTATATTTTTAAGTTTTAAAATATTTTTCTTAAAGATAGAAGCAAAATTGGTTTTAATTTTTTATGTATTTAAAACTATGTACATAGTCATCTACTCGCACTCCTCCCCCTGGACTTTGAACTCCTCCGGGGCCCGGAAGCTATGTTATTTATCTCTGAATCCCTCAACAGGCTCTGCAGTGCCTGGGCCTCAGGTAGATTGGCACACTGATCATCATCAGCACCCATCAAAGAGCTTAGAATCTAACGAGTTTCCAGGACAAACAAACAAACAAACAAAAATATATACAGGTCAAAGATGAGCAGAGCCATAGAAAGCTAATATAGTATAAAACTAGTTTCAAGGGTACAGATACTTTCACAAGTAACACTGTGTTAGTCCCTAGGTTATGGGCTTTTTGAAAGCAGGACTCATGTTTCATTCATTCCTGTATTTGAAGCACCCAATCACAGTGCCTGATACAAAAGGTATGCTCAAGAACCATCTGAAGAATCAAACAGCCTCACCTTTAAATATGCCTTTTATAAGTGGAGCTACTGCTGTATTGAAGACTTCTTCCTGTTCAGTAGAGGGGTCAAACACAAAATCGTAGGTAAAGGATTTGTCAGTACCAACCACCACCTAGAGAAGGCAAAGAACAAGAAGTAAGTAAAAAAAACGAAAGGCCAGACCACGCCCCTCACTGCCATTCGGCCCCAGCTGTTAAGAGGCAGGCCCCGGACTTCGCTACGCACCTGAGGTTCCCCGGGTACGAAGGAAAGGCACATCTGGCAGCCCTCACTTATCTCTTTGGGGACCAGCGGGCGACATCGCAGGGCCACTCTTACAGGAATTCCCTTCACCTCTTCCTTCATGATCCTAACTCGACACCGTCTCTGCGGGGGAAAAAAAGATGCTTGTTGATGAATCTTGGTGGGTCAGCAGGGGTGGGAGGGCGTCCTCCCTCAGTTCTGGCCCTCCTCGGGGGGTGGGGTGGGTTAGGGAACTCAGCGGTAGCCTATGGTGGCAGCCTCCCCCTACCAGCGGGATCGCTGCCTCAGGAAGGTCACTGTCCCTCGGACTTGGCCACTACAGGACTGCCCGTCAGCCCGACCCTCTGAAGAGAACGAAGTGGCGTCCGAAATGGAAAGGAAAAGCCCAACGGAGATGGCGACAAAGAACCAAAGTCCCAGGGTACCGGGAAAGTCAGATCCTGAACTAAGGTGTGCCCCCTTAACTCACCAAACTAAACGTCTCTTCTCTGGTCTCCTGCCGCCCTTGTCCCAACCGGAGATTTAACCGCCAAGTTTCAAATCGGACCCGGAGGCGCCAGCCAATCGGAGCACAGACAGCCTGCGGGAGGAGCACGCACGCGGCGCGCGCAGGAAGACGCTTTGGGGAGGGGGGCCCGCGCGCCGCACTCTGACCCCGCCCCTTTCCGATCCCGCCCCTTTCAGACCCCGCCGAACATCCGCTTCCGGTTCCCAGACAAAACTGGCGGTGAGCTGAGTCTGAGGTGGCAGAGGCCTGCCGGCGGGAGAGGTGGTACAATATTTACCGTGTCGTGTTCGCGGGACTCAGGCAGGATGCGGGACGGGAATCTGGAAGGTGGCTGGTGGTAAAGGAAGGTCGATCTGGGGACCCTCCCCCCGACCGGTACTGATCACTTTAGGGAAGCTGGGGGCGGGGCCTGGCCCTGGATCCCTGTGGAGAGTTGAAGTCTGCATTCCCTTGGATTTCAAAAGTAATCAGATCTTTTTAGACGCGATCCTGGTTTCCTTTTCTTTAAGATGAAGACGGTAACATCTGTTTCCCAGGATTGTTGTGAGGAAGGAGTTTATTTCTATAGTGTACCTAACAGGTTGCTTGGCATCCAGATACTCAGTAGATAGTTTTCTCCCTTCTCTCCCAAAATCTTTATCACCTAGAAGTGAGCTGGGCCCGTAGACTGACAGCCTTGGAATGGGTTGGAGTTGTTTTCTGAAACTTCATGGGCTGCTTGCCCTTCTGAACCATTTTCACCAGCTTTTTTTTTCTCTATATATATTTTTTATTGAGGTACAATGTTATGTCAGTTTCTGGTGTACAGCGTAATGCTTCAGTCATACATGAACATACATATATTTGTTTTCATGCTCTTTTTCACCATAAGTTACTAGAAGATATTGAATATAGTTTACTGTGCTATACAGTGTGAACTTGTTGTATATCTATTTTATATATATTAATTAGTATCTGCAAGCCTCAAACTCCAATTTATCCCTTCCCAACCCCTTCCTCCCCTGGGGAAGTTTGTTTTCTATGTCTGTGAGTCTGTTTCTGTTTTGTAAATAAGTTCATTTGTCTTATTTTTTTAGATTCCACACATAAGTGATATCATATGGTATTTTTCTTTGTCTTTCTGGCTTATTTCATTTAGAATGACAATCTCTAGGTTCATCCGAGTTGCTGCAAAGGCATTATTTTACTATTTTTTATGGCTGAGTAGTAGTCTATTGCATAAACATACCACAGCTTCTCCATCCAGTCATCTGTCGATGGACACATTTTTATCAGCTTTGATTCACCCTTCCATTATAGGGCCTTACCAGAGATGGACAGCCGGATTCCTTACGATGACTACCCAGTGGTTTTCCTGCCTGCCTATGAGAATCCCCCAGCTTGGATTCCTCCCCATGAGGTGGGAACCATCTATACCCTTGAGTAGGGGATTTTTCCCCATAGTAATGGGATGATATACAAAAGGTAGGATGTCAGGGTTAGAAAGCTCAATGGAGAGTAAACTTAACCTTTGTTATAGCCAGGAGACCCACAGATTAGATTCTGAGCAACTGGGCCCACTGGGAGATTCTTATGGAATCCTCTTGATAGAATCCATTTACATCAGAGAATTTTGGAAATTCGGAGCCCTAATTTCCATTCTGTTGAAGTAAAGAAGTGGGGAGCTGCTGGGCTGCTAGCATTTCCCCATGCTATCCATATACCCATTTGGACAGTGTTACCTGTTCTCCTTAACCTAAGTCTGTAACTTCACCTTTTCCTGACTTCAGGGTGATGCATTTGTGTTCTGGATGAAGGTAGTAAGACTGGTAGTAAGATTTAGGGGGTTACTGTGTCTTGCAGAGGGTATACCACCCAGACTACAACAACGAGTTGACCCAGTTTCTGCCCCGTATCGTCACACTGAAGAAGCCCCCTGGAGCTCAGGTGAACTTATGGAACAATTGCATCTTATTCCAGGCTAGATTTGGTGATACCGGGCCCAGAAGTTGGCCATGGTTGGGGGTTGGATTGGGACGCAGGCAGGGAAGTAAAGAAACTTCCTTTTGTGGGCAGAAAAGCTGAAATACCACTTCCACAACTTCTCACTTCTCTCTGAGGGATACAAGCCAAGCTATCATACAGTGATGCTACTAGATGCCCCTATTCTGTGCTCTTTTCTTACAGTTGGGATTTAACATCCGAGGAGGAAAGGCCTCCCAGCTAGGTATCTTCATCTCCAAGGTGGGTATGCCTGGTAGGCAGTATGGACAGCAACTTCCCTTTATTAAGTTATCAGACTGCAGAACCCTGATGTCCCAAGGTGGGGAAGCAGGCTGATTCAGTAGACTCATTGAAGGGGCATAATGAGGATACCTTTGCCCACTTAAAACTTCCCACCTGGCAAGCCACTTGTTTCCCTACATTGTCATACACACACACACAAAACAATAGTACCTTACATTTGAATAGCACTTAATTTCACTTACAGTCTTTGAAATTATCTATTCTCTCTCACATCTATTTTCTCCTTACCAATAGGTGATTCCTGACTCTGATGCACATCGAGCAGGACTTCAGGAAGGAGACCAAGTCCTAGCGGTGAATGATGTGGATTTCCAAGATATTGAGCACAGCAAGGTGAGCACAGCACCTGGGCTGTGGTCAGGCAACAAGCCATCACAGGTAGGACACATTGGACAGGATTAGCCTAATCTGTAACTTGTTAAGAAAGAATCTCTCTTTGATAAGAGGGAAGCTGCTATTAGTGACCCAGGAGGTTGGAGTGGCAAAATACTTTCCTCCTGTTGTGCTTCTGTCCTGAGTTATATCTCTTCATTTGTACAAGCTGCTGTGTTCCTTCCAGGCTGTTGAGATCCTGAAGACAGCTCGCGAAATCAGCATGCGTGTCCGCTTCTTTCCCTACAGTAAGTGCCACTCTTTGCTTACATGGCAGGGCCCTCAGTAGCAACTCTTTAAATGCTGATTACTAGAGGCCCCACAAGTTGGAGATGGGCGATTGGGAGCTCAGGCCAGAAACTAACCTGCTCTTTTCCTCCTTTTTGTTCCTTTTTCCCCCAGATTATCATCGCCAAAAAGAGAGGACTGTGCACTAGAGAGTTGGAACCCACAGCGCTCCCTGTGGAATCTTCCAGGACAAGCTAACTAGACCTCAGGGAAGCCACTTGGGGAGCTCTACTCTCAGCCCCACCCTGGCGGAGTGGAGGGGGAGGATGGGGAGACACGAGGCTCTGCACTGAGCAAGCTAGCCAACTGCATTATCCAAACTGTACTGCACTTTCACTTCCCCAGTTTTGTAGGTGAGCTTCATTCCTGGAAAGGAGAAGGATGACAATGTCTGGGTATAGCTTAGCTTTTGGAGAACCCTGCTAGAAAAGGCAACTGACATTTATTAAATACCATGTGCTAGGCAGTTCCACACATGTCATAGCATTTTCATCAGAGTATAGAAATCAGTAGAAAAAGAGGGATCTGGGGGAGGTCTCCCATCTAATCTGCCTGGCTTTCTGATCCCATCCTTACACTACCAGTCTCAAACTTTGGAGACTCCAGTGGAACCCTGTTTTTCCCCCTCTCTCCTTCTATCTCTTCCCTCCAAAAGTAAAACACAATGCTGAGGAAATATTGGTGTGACTTTTGGATGATACTGATTGGGTGTCAAATGCTTTTGAGGAAAAATAAAAGCTCTTCCATAGAGAGGAGCCACTAAGCAACAGAGCAGCACTATACCTACTTTGCAACTATCTCTGGCCAGAACATTAGGGAGGCCCAGGACGCTTATCTGCAGTATAACCAAGGAATGGTATAGGGTGAGGGGTACTGGAGGAAACAGCGCCCCTCCCCCCATGAACTGTGGCCATTTCTCTGCAAGGGGACAGTATTAATATAGTTCTGTCTTCTCTTTTCCCAGATTCATCTGGAACATAAACTAAGGGAGAGACTTAGATGCACTTCTTTTCAGGGACAACAGTAAGAAATTGGTTCCCAATTTCCACCTCGTAGGTTGAGTATTATTGACCTCTGACTTCTCCAGTTTTCTTCACCTCAGCCCCCAAATAACCTTCTGCTCTATTCTTAGTTCTTTCATACCAATCTGTGTTAGAGATTCCAGGCCACACCTTATTCCATTTCCTTGGCATGTTCACAATACCCATTCAGAATAGAAAGTTTTCTAAAGAGGTATGGGGTGAAGTAGGACCCCGGAATAAAAGTCCCAAATTTGCCTTCAGAGAATCCTGGGAAGTATTAGTATATATTTCAAAGCCCTTCCCCTGGAGAGTGATTCTTTTGGTCTGAGATGGAGCCTGGAAATCTGAATTTTTGAATAAGGTGAATAACAAACATAGGAAACAGTTCTAAATACTAGTACTGTATCTGTAAGAAAGTTCTGGTTTTTCCTATAAATCCCACCCTAGCTCTACAATGGGCCCTCTTCTGTTGGCTCAATCCCATTGTTAGGTAGCAGCATCCTGGTGAACATTGCGGGAGGTAGAATTAATCTAGCTGTGTCTATGCTTCCTGGGAAATTCCCCTCCCCCACCCGATATAGACTATATGGTAGTATTTGCTCTGCTGCCCCCCAATGGCCATCTGAGGAAGAAACTAGTGGCAGAGATACACAAAGGCATATTGGCTGAGTCTACTGAATGTTGAGGTCCAAGACTCTCCCTGTGGTTAAAAGGCTTTAAAACAACTCATATAAGAAGTGTGGCAAACAGGGTGAAAAAAAAACAAACAAACCCAGCCAGATGCCAGGGGCCTAAAAGGGAAAACCCCTCCTGCCCAAAATTGGTTCTCACTTTGAGGTATTTGGAATGGTTCTGTGTTGGGGCACCAGCATGATACAACTGCAGGGTGGAGGTACAGGAAGAGCGTACTGAAGCTGCAAGCAATCAGAGGCTAAGGTGAAAGGACCAGTCATTTATTGAGTGTGTAGATAAGAAGGAACTGTATCAGCCTGTGAAGTATCCCAGCTGCTATAGAGCTGTATGCCCTAGAGATTGTCTTTTAGTAGTCAGAGGAGGTAAGTTGGGATTCCTGGGCCCTGTAAGAACTTTCCACCCAGGAGCTGTGAGAAGCAGTCAAGAAAAAATGATAGCATTTTCAAGGGTTCCATTTTACTCCTAAGCCTAGGAATTGGACAAGAGCTTACTTAGTGGCCAAGTATTTAAACCATAAATGTGAGGTTGTGGGAGAAGGACTGGTACTAGGAAGCCCAAATGCAATGAATTTATTAAATTAGGCAGAGAGACAGCCTAAGCTATCAACAGGAATAATGGCTTTTGATGTCTGGCTCATTGGAGGGTGTCAGTTGGATTTTACCATTGAGGTGTGTGTGAAGGTAGGAAGATAATAGAGTGTGGTGGCTGGGGTCAAATCTCAACTCCCAGGGGCATCTTCTAGGAAACACAGAAAAGGAGTTTTTATCCATTTCACCTAAAGGCAAACCAGGGAGCTACTTTGGGCTGAAGTTAGTCCCATTTTCCTTTAAGTATCAGGCAGAAAAATTGGCAGGGCCGTCAACTCAGCAAAGGAAGTTTGCCTTCTCCCAGCAAAGCTGGGAGAGAGGATCCTCTCTTCCCTCAGTGGAGACGAATTAACCTCCGGCAGGAAGGGCAAAAGCTGTGCACTGGAATAAATGTGCGTGTATGCTCAAAAGAAAAAAGGTCAAGTTCAGAGACGTGATTCCAGGCCTTTGCACTGTATGATGGGGAGATGAACCTTACCCCCAAACCCATGATAGGACAAGCCAGGTTATCCAAAGAGTAAGCAGTGGTGGGTAGCTAGAGATGAGTGCATTAGAATGATCATAAAGAGAAATGAGTATTTTTCACATTGTAACTGGTTTTGGCACTGGTCTCAATAAACATCACATTGAGATCTCTGAATTTTTCTTCTGCCTCCTTTGTAGAGACTTGTCTGGACAAATGAACAATGATGTAAGGGACCAGATAGTGGTAAGACCCCTTCTGAACCAGAGTTCTGGAAAGAAATTGATCCTTCCGAGGCATAATGATGCCTCCCTAGGACCAGGAACCCTCAAAGCCCTGAACCCATGACCTTTCTGATCCCTGACATGAATAACTCCTCCCAAGTCAATAGAGCAGAGTAGACCCTCCCAACAGGGATTGAGCTCTAAGTATGCCAGGAGCAGTTGTAGTTATACCTTTCCTTTTGTTGTTCAGGTCAGTCTAACTAGCAACATGATGATGCTGTAATTGCCTCTTTCTGCCTCTACATCTTCTACCCACTTATCTGCCTCCTTAAAATAATCACTGTTTACAAGAGAATGTGTTGCAGAGAGTTGAAACATTTAGTAGAGGGTTGGAGAGATAATGTAGCTGTCCATCCTCTCTGCTAGTTTTACCAACCTTTCTATTGCTTCCCTCAATCCCTTTTTTCAAGTAAAACATGGCTTAACACCCACTCGTGATGTTATAGACAACCACGGCTACTGAATCATGAATGTTGCTAGAAATTAGGCTGCAAGAGTGCTCCTGGCCAGCTGTGTTCCATAGCTGCAGCTGAACCTGCATAAAACAGATGTTTAGAAAGAAGGTAGAGAAAGAAACGAAACTTGCCTCTTAAAGGCTAGAACTTAATAAAGGCAAAACCAAAAGAGTCAAGGAAATCGGGTTCCTGAAAAGTGGCTGGTATGACCACAAACCAAGTGCCTACCATCCTGGGTCAGGTCCAATCCCAATATACTGTTTCGATTAAGGAAGACTATAGAGCAGCAGATTTAAGGAAGCAAGGCCTCTTGGACTTTGTTACTGTTAGCTGGAAATAATATGAGGGCAGAGAGAATAAGAAACAGCACAGGGTTTGGTAATTTGAGGAGGTTTCATATTTTATTTCCCCTTTATGCACAGATAATATGGGATGGTGATGAATCGATTGAGGTATAGGGTTAGGACTATGAGAGTGAACACACTCTTCAGTCCTCCAAGTACATGTTCTTAGTCAATTCCAAAGGTTACCTGCAAAGGAGAGTCAGATACTTAACTCTGTACCTCTCCTCTACCCCCAGTACAGTCTTAGAACCGGAAGTGGAGAATGGCCCTTGAAAACAGTTTCCTGACTCAGCTTCTGAACATTTACAGTAGATAACTTTGAGGAGAAGAATCCCCGGGTAAGTCGGCCAAAGAAGGGGGCAAAAATATACTGTGTGATGCCTTGGCAGGTGCCTTCAAGCTGTTGTACATAAACTAAGTGATGATAAGTAGGCCAACTGTCACCCTAGGCCAGGAGGAAATTAATCAATTCCCTAGAGAACCCACCCCCACTCCATCTCACCTCCCTATCCCCAAAGCCCAACCCAGGCCCCCACTGCTCTGCTCCCCAAGGATTATGCGGCTTGGTTTTACACGTAGACTGGTACTCAATTGAGTCTGATGGTTTCCAGGCCGAAGCCTAGTCTGTGGGCCTCATAGTATGCGAGGCATGTGGGCAGGTGGGCGGCACCTGCTGCCTGAGGTCACATGGCGCTCTCTATCCAACCATCAGCATCGCCCCCAGGCTTGGGCTCAGGGTCATGCCTCCTCAGGCTCTGCCCTCAGCTTCTGTGGCTCCCATGGTGGGGCAGCTGGGGAAGCTGGGGCAGTGGGTGATTGTGGGAGGGTGATAGTCAGGCGGGGATGGCCAGGACTTGAAGGAAAGCGGAAGGACCCACAGAGGGCGAGTGGCCTTGCCAGAGGGAAGTCAGGACTCATTTTGAGGAAAAGCATGTGCTACAGGAGATCTCATCACTGATAGGGGTGGAGGGGCTCATTCTAGGTAGTTTCATTACCCTCCGGAGGAGGAAATACAAGAGAGATCACCAGGCACATCTGGACAAGCTGATTTATTAGAGCGTTACAGTGGGGCTCCCACACAGAGGCACCAAAGCCAGGCACTCAGCTGCCCTCATCCCCCTCAGCTGCCAAAGCCTCCTGGTTCTCCTCGCTGCCAGGCTCCTGCCGAGCAAACTCCTCGATGACTATGTCCTCAGAGCTTGCAGAAGCAGCGAAGGGGAATGGAGGGTTAGAAACAACTGTCTGCATGTCTTCCACATTCACTACTAGCTCCTGATCCCAGAGGAGTGATCCCTTCCCTGCTTCCCAGCTCAGATCCTCAGCCCCGCGTCAACTGCACTGGCTTGTTTCCTTCGCTCCCTCCCCAGTCTCCCAACAGGAAAGTGCCCCCTGAGGGCTGGAGGGGAAATAAGAATGGAGGGTGGGAAGGAGAGAAGGGATGGAAGCATGAAAGACAGGAGAATGGCGAGGGGGCGGGGAAACGGAAAAGCAAAAATGACAGCGATGAGGGGGAGGGACGATTGGGAGAAGAGCAGGAGGTGGAGGGCGAGGACTCAGGAAGGAAAAGGCGGGCTCATGAAAAGCACTGAACTATGACACGAAGCTAAACCACATGTTGCTACTGCACACCTATTGTAAGCAAAACTCCAGGGAAGCTTTTTTTACACTTCCATCATCATAAAATAGTGCAATGGGGAAAGGGGGGTTGGGTTTCCAGGCCTCACATTTTCTTACCAGGTAGCCTCTGTAACAAGCATGGAGAGGGAGGAAAATACGGAGCTGAGGCTGATAAGGGACCCTTCAATTCCCAGCAGAAATGTCTAGTTCTCTTCCTTTGTCCTTTTTAAGGCTCTTCCTCCCATACGCACAACACACAGACACACACACACACAACTTCCTCTGAAAACGTAGACACCCAGCCTACCTACTGCTATTCAGTCTCTATCCATACTGCCAGTTCCCGATTCACAAGATCAGAACTGCTTGGTCCCCATCTGTTCCTGTGAGTCCCACCAGGTCACTCACCATTCGATGGTTTCGGATGCATCAGGATCAGGGGCAGCTCCACACCAACATCACTGTGAGGATCCCAAGGTGGGATTACAGATTTCCCTCCATGTCCACACCCCGAACCTCTCTCCCTCAGTTTTCCGATCCTGGGTTGCCCTCAGATTCTCCCTCGTGTCTCTTTTGGTCTTCTGATATCATCCTCCCCTTCTTGCCCCTGTCCCCCCTCCCTGCTGTCTCTTACCTGGCTGTTAGGTCGCCTAGGATGCTGAGGGCAGAATGACACCCTAAAATTAGCAGCTGGAAATGGAAAGTGGCAACCTAATTTTACTGGGGGATGAGGGATCAAAAGGCCAACTCAGCCACAGAGTGGCTTGTTGGCTTGCTCATAGAGCGCACAGGTTTGGGAAATGGGTCCAGGAGGAGTGGGGAATAGCTTGATTGGCTCAGTCCAACTGGGAGGAAAACAGAAGTGGCTCCCTAGCCTCTGCCCAGATGGACCCTGCACCCTCACTCACCCTCCACAGGACACCATCAGGTTGACTCTGACTTTGTAGGACACCAGGATCCCCAGCAGCTCTTTGTCCACTCCTGGTCGAAGACTAAAGTGGGTAGTATTCATTGTTGAGTGTTGGGGGAGGGTAATCCATTCAGTTCCCCCATCCCTTCCTGTGCACCTTTTGGGTTTTTGGGGTTTTTTTTTTGTTTTTTTGAAGTACAGTCAATTACAATGTGTCAATTTCTGGTGTACAGCACAATGTCCCAGTCATGCATATACATACATATATTTGTTTTCATATTCTTTTTCATTAAAGGTTATTACAAGATGTTGAACATAATTCCCTGTGCTATATAGAAGAAACTTTTAAAAATATCTATTTTTATATATATAGTGACTAATATTTGTAAATCTCAAACTCCCAGATTTATTCCTTCCCACCCCCTTTCCCCAGTAACCATAGGATTGTTTACTATGTCTGTGAGTCTGTTTCTGTTTTGTGGATGAGGTCATAGTGTCCATTTTTATTTTTTTAGATTCCATATATGAGTGGTATCATATGGTATTTTTTTCTCTTTCTAGCCTACTTCACTTACAATGATGATCTGTAGGTCCATCCATGTTTCTGCAAATGGCATTATTTTATTCTTTTTTATGGCTGAATAGTCCTGTGTACCTTTTGTCATCTAACAGGTCTCCCAGGCTCAGATCTCCTACTCTTGGGAGTAGTTCCTCAAATCTAGTTTTTACCGCATCACCCTCTGCTTAGGAGCCTACCTTTCTGAATGTAACTACTTCACTGCTTGACTTTCACAACCCTTAACAATTTGGCCCCACCTAGCCTCTCTAGAACCTTCCTGCCCTAACTTCCTGACACCTGGATTACAACCTAAGCTGATCCATCTCTCCATGCTCAGAACATGCCATGCGGCTTCCTGCTTTCCAGCCTTTGTCCATGCTAGGCTCCCAATCTGGAATGCTCTTTTCTTCCTCTGTTGCTCTCCAGATCCAACAGATGCTTGAAGATCTAGCTCATTCTATCTCTCCAGGAAGCCCTCGCCAACTACGCTGGCTTCTTTGACTCCTGTTTAATTTCTAGTCTGAACTGCATATACTAAGGTTTAACTGTTAGATTGCATTTGCATTCCTCTTTGTTCCCTATCTAGGCCACAAATTGACTGAAGGCGGAGACAGTCTTAAACTTCTCTGTGTCCTCCCACGATGCTTTTAGCATGGGGATGAGCATGTAACAGGTGTTCAGTGGAAACCCACTGACTGAAAAATAAGACACAGAAAGCAATATGATCTTGGGAAAGTCTCTTCATTGCTCTGGGATGCTGATCCTCTGTCTATAAAATAATGCTGTCTGGATGATTTTGCAGGCTCATTCTAACAGTAACAGTCTATAGCTACATGTTTGATAGGGCATAGAGAGAGGCAGTGGGAATTAACGCTTGACAGAGGGTGGCAGATGGGTTTTGGTGGGAGACACATACAACACTAGGGCAGCCAAGTCTTAGGCATAGGACCAAATGAATGATTTGATAGAATTCTGTCAGTTCCTATTGTATTATTCTCCTTTTTTGTCTTCCTTTCTCTCCATTTCTCACCTCCTAGTTTTCCACTCCACTCCTGTCTTCACTGGAGAGTAGCTGCTATAGAGATTGCAGTGTTAGAGCCAGATGACGTGAGATAGAATCTGTTCCACCTCTGCCACTTATTAGCTATGGAAGCTTGGACAAGTTCCTTCATCTCTCTGAGCCTTCGGGTCATTAAGTGTAAAACAGAACAAGAACACGTATCCAGCCAACTTGAATGAGATTCTTATGAAGATGACATACTACCATATGTAAGGCCTTTGTGAGCTGTAAAATATACAACATAAGGAATTTTTCCATTCCACTTTTTCCTTTCTTGTTGCCTAGGACCTAAACCTGCCATTGGTCCCATGGGTATTATTTAGCATCCTGTTCCTCCAGCCTGGAGGGATGTCGGAACACTGGCCTAGGGACATTCTTTAAACTAGGTAGGCTTCATTGAAGACGAAACCTCAGGACTATATATATAGTGCACAGAATGGGTTGGGGAATGAAGGTTGGGAGTTACATTTGAGCTTACATTGTGCTAGAGGCCAGATTGGTGTCACCATGCTTGAATTTGCCATCTAGTGCCAGGCCCTGTTTCTCGCAGTTGTCAGCCAGGAGTGGGGTTACTTCAAAGCTCTTGGAGAAGGTGGAGTTAGCAGCTATAGTCTCCCTTCAAAAGGAAAAGAAGAGAAGATCTTAAGCTAGGCTTGCCAACTAAGTAATTCTCATCCCCAAGAGCATTTTGCACGATTCCGTGAACCTACTAGAGTATCCAAGGGAGTTGGCATGTCTAGCTGTGGAGAATAGGAACAATTCACTCCGGTCAGAAATCCTCATGCCCCTGCCCTCTCTCAGCATTTCAGTGATCCTCTTGGGGGTATCCTCCCTCTAGTTCTCCTGGGAATCCCTCCCTCTCTCCACATCAACCCTCACCTTGACCTTCCTCAGTCCTGGGCTCTTCTCTGCTTCCTTCTTTCCTCAACCCCCTCTTCTGCATCCAGACCCCAGCCCCCTTCCCACCACCCTACCCCTCAGCTCTCTGACCCCGGCCCCAGCCCCAGCTCACGTGAACTCCTGGATGAACACAGTCTTGGTGTACTTGTCTAGTGAATACAGGACAACATCTGTGGTCTGATCAACTGAAGAGCCAGGAAAAAGCACATGACTACAATTAGTCAGTCATCTTCAAGACCCCAACTCACGGCTCTCAGATGTGACCTTATACATAGGCACACCATGCATTCAGCACAAAAGATATGTGTTTTGATGAACCTGCATTGGAGGGAAAGCCTAGATGAATGCAGACTGGGGAAGTGGGGCAGAGTTTTGGAAAAAACCTGTGGCTTTGGGACCAAGTACCTGGGGATAGGACAAGAAGCTCACCTGAAATCTTGATTTTTTTGATGACCTTGTTGGTGGAGTTGTTGATGGAAACATTGACAGCGATGGGTTTGCCGTGGTAGTGAACCTGAAGCAGGAGGGGAGGCCCATGGCGAGGTTGGAGGGAGAACACCCAGATCAAGTCCTTGAGTTTGTTTCCTTAGTGCTGTTGCCACCCTGGCTTCAATCCTTGTCTTACCCAAGTAGGAGATCAGTGAAGAAAGGGTTTCAAAGGGGTTTGTGGTAGGGGGCAGGAAAGGCGGGTAACGAACCTCCCTGTCCATCCAGGCCTGGAGTTGTAGGGGCTGAGCTGACAGGAGGAAGCGGCGCACGGTCTGAGCCCAGGGGCCGGGGCCTGGCTCCAAGGGTGCAAACTGTATTTTCCGAATCACCAGCCGCACAGAGTCTCTGAGTAGAGGCCAAGGGGTCAGCTAGAACGTCTCCTTAGGACCCACAGACCTTTCCCATGCCAACCCCATAGCCCAGTCCTTGCTTGCGGGGTGGAGGTGGCAGAAAACCTTGCTCCAACAACACCTCTGAACCCTCAGTGAGATATCTAGACCACATGTCAGCAAACTGTGGCTCTCTGGCCACATCTGGCCTGCTGCCTGTTTCTGTATGGCCTGCAAGGACAGAATGGTTATTACATTTATAATGGTTGGGAAAACAATCAAAGAACAATACTATTTCATGACATGTGGAAATTATATAAAATTCAAATTTCAGTGTCTGTAATTAAGCTGTATTGGCACACAGCCATGCTCCTTCATTTACGGACTGCCTGTGGCCGCTTTCATGCTACAGTGGCATGGTTGAGTAATTGCAATAGAAACTATATTGCTCACAAAGCCGAACTATTTAGTTTTTGGCCTTTGACGGGAAAGTTTGCTGACCTTTGTTCTAGAGCAAAGAAGAGAAGTCAGAGGGGACTCAGAACTGGGCATCTAAGCTGGTGGTGATGGTGCTGTGGAGGTTAGAAGTAGGTCTGTTTCTGTCCTGAAAGCGAGATCTGTTTCCTGGCACAGGCTGGAGGCAGGGGTTTTGGAGAGTACCAAAGAATACCTCTTGGAGACTTTCTCCTCCAGGTTTTCAGCACAGAAACTCTTCACTTCAAAGTCAACACCACAGGACTGCAAAGGGGCAGGGACAAAGAGAACTTGTTTCCAACACTGCCCCTCTCTTGTGGCTCTATAAAGATACCTGATCCCATCCCTTAGCTGTCCATTTCTCCAGTCTTGTCCGTTTATCCCTCTGTCCCTCCTCCCAGCACTGACATCTGCCCCTCTTTCTCAGAACCCAGACCTCACCTTTCCTGTATCGTCAGGACCTGGCTGCAATGCCACTGAACAAGGCAGGTTGACAACCATCTAGGGGATCAGAAGGAGGTCAACAAACAGAAGAAGTAGGGACCCCATTTCTCTGTTCTCCTTCTGTAACTTCCTCTCAATCTTCGCTGAAAGCCTTATCCAGGACTTGGGGTCAGTACCTGCAGGGTAAAAGGGTAGGCATTCTCCCCCAGCTTGTGCAGCAGTCGCTCCTGTAGGACTGTGAGGGGCCCCTGCGGGCTGCTGGGCTCAGCTGGGACCACTTGCTGGACCTGTACATACAGATCTTTGCGGAACGTCAGACCAATCACATCCAAATCATCATGGCCATAGCGAAAGGCACATGTCAACATGACAAACACTGTAGGCAAAAGAAGAAGAGAGTGACCTGTCAGTCCTGAGAGGGAAAGGCGATCTTAAATGGCTCACAGAAAGACATGGAGAGACAATGTAATATGATCAAAACAGTATGGCCTTAAAGAAAAGGATTAATGCATTTGACTATAGTAAAACTTAAAACTTCTTTACATTGAGTCTTTCTAAGTAAAACAGATAAACAACAAGTTCCTACTATATAGCACAGGAAACTATATTCAATACCTTATAACGGCCTATAATGAAAAAATATGAAAAGGAATATATGTATATCTCTCTATATATATATATATCTGTATCTGGATCACTTTGCTGTGCACTAGAAATTAACACAACATTGTAAATCAACTATACGTCAATAAAAAAATTAAAATCTTTTAAAATAATGAACCAAATAAAAGCCTGGGAGAAAACATTTGCAACATATATCACAAACAAAAGTTTAGTGTTCATAGTATATAAAGAACTCCCACAAGTCAGTGATAAAAATAAAAATATCCCAATATAAAAGTGAGCAAATTATGTGAGTAGGCTCTTTGCAGAAGTGCAAAATGGGGAGTGGCCAATAAGACATGAAAACATGTCTAGTCTCATCAGTAAGCAGATAAATGCATATTAAAACCACAGAGATAACATTTCACACCCTTGGGATAGTCAGCAATTTTTCAGTCTGATAGCACTAAGTATTGAGCTGTGCTCCAGATGTGGAGCAATAGGAGTTCATTACACACTGTGGTGGGAGTATACATTATATAACCGCTTTGGAAAACTGGCGCCATCCAGTAAAAACTGAATCTGCTCATATCTTATGACCTAAGGAATTTAGAGGAACTCTTGCTCATGTCTATATGGAGATACACATAAGAATGTCTGTTGAGTCAATGTGTTTGTCATAGCATAAAACTGGAAACGATTTAAGTACCTACCAATGGGAGAATGGGTAAACAGTTGTTGTATATTCCTATAATGGAATACTAAACTGGGGATAAAACAAATGAACTTGAACTCCATGTATTAACATGGTTAAATCTCAAAAACTGTTGAGTTAGAAAAAATAGCTAGCTGCAGAATGATACGCATAACCTGAGATCGTGTATATCAAATTGAAAAGCATGTAGAACAATACCGAAGTTGCTCACAGGTATATAAATATAGAGTAGAAGTGTAGAAACATCATGGGAGTAATAAACACCAAATTCAGGATAGTGGTTACCTGGGGGTGAAGGCAGAAAGAGGAGGGAGGGAGGAAGGGTCATGGGATCAGGGAAGGACACATGGGAGACTTCAGTTTGTTTCTGTAATTCTTTTTAAAGCTACGTGGTGGGTACAGGGTATTCCTTACACAGTTCTCTAGGGTCAGAATACCTGGGTTTGAATATGACTTGTATAAATCCCTCGAGTTGTCTGAGCATCAGTTATTTCACCTGTCAATAATAGGAGTGCACTAAGAGCTCTCCATATGTTATTTAGACCTCACAATAATCCTCTGAAAATGAGAGAAAATGAGCTCAAAGCTGTCAAGTGATAGTCCAGGATTTCAATCCAGGCCAGTCTGACTCCAAAGCCTCGACTCGTATGTGCCCAACTTAACTCATAGGACGGCTGTAAGGAGTTGATGTATAAGAAATCCCTTTGGAAATTGTAATTATAGATGTGGAGGATGAGGACCATGTTGATTATGATCATCAGCATGGGAATATTGGAGAAATGAAACTTATACTTTGCAGCTAGTACCTAAGATTAGGGGCAAACAGAAAGCCACTTCAATGCTCTAGTGGATTTTGGGACGGGGTACAGAGGACAGTAACAGAGATGAGGGGAAGTAAAAATTTAGAACAAGGGTGGGGAATCTTATTTTTATCAGGAGTGAATAGAAAACTACCCAGTGAAAAGAAAACTACCAAAAGCCACACACTAATAGAAAGCAATCTATTTTTGTGTTTTTAAGAGATCAGAATATCAAAAGCCAGATTGTCTGATTTTAAAATTACCAACAAGCAAAGAAAATGAGTCTATATTCAAAAGATACAACAAAGACTGAAAGTAATGATAATGGCAGTGTTTATAAGGACACAGGCAATGGGCAGCCTTGTACCCTGCAGGAGGGAGAGTTAATTGGTACAATCATTTTGAAGGGCAATTTGGCGATAGAAAGCTTTACAATTGTGTGACTGCCCTTTGGCCATTCATTCTTTTTCTGGGCGTTTAGTCTAAAGAAATAATTGGACAGGTATGAAAAAAATCTATATAAGTGTGTACCTTACGGGGTCGTTTATCATAGTAAAAAATGTTCAACAATTGAAGATTGGCTAAATACATTATGGTACACCCATGCAATATAGTGGTAGGCATCTTAAAAATTTATAGATTTTTATATATTGACATAGGTAAAAAAGGAGATTAGAAAACATTATTTATAATATAGCATTTTTAATAAAATATAGATTTTTTACACAGATGATATGACTAAATATGAACTAAAATATTAGTGATTATCTCTGGACGATAGGATTACAGTCTTTTCCTCCTTCATCTGCACTTTGTAATTTTTCTACAATGAAGAAAAACTTAATTTTCAAAAGATATTCAACAACAGATAAATTCACCTTGGTTCTCAATTATGCCAATTAAAGTGGGAGAAGGGAGAGAAAAAGAAAAGCAAAAGAAAAGAAGGGGGAAAGGAAAAGAAAAGACAGAGAAGGTGAGAAAAAGAGGAAAAGAGGTGGCTGGAAGGAAGGAGGGAATGGGAGGAAATGAAAGAGAAGAGAAATAAGACAGGAAACAATCAGGAAGGGCCAGGCAGAAGGGTATCTAGTAGCCCCTAACGTGAGGATGTTAATCAGATAAGTTGTATTTGGCACATCCTCCTGTTGGCATGAGGGGAGGACATCACCACCCCCCAAGATCTTATTGGCTCTTGGGCAGTTTAGAATCATCTTTTTTTTTGTTAGTAAATAGCTTGCATTTATTTTTTTAATTCAACATCTATTATAAAGTCACTCATTTAGATTTGTGTTTATTACACAAACAATACGTACTAACTGTGACAATCAGAAAACACACACCAAAAGGGAAATCCAAGCTCTGCCATCATACATCATATTCCAGAGATAACTATTATTGATGTCTGTTGAGTTTGCTCCCCAAATTTGTTTCTGTAATTAAACATAAGGCCACCTTAGGTATTTATGACTTCTCTCTCATTGCCTTTTGGAAATTAAACATTTTATTTTCAGATCATTGTAGATTGACATGCACTTATAAGAAATAATACAGAGAAATCCCCCAGAGATTTTTGTTAAACAACACTTCATTCACACAACCACATATGCTGCCCTACAACCGGCCGTTTTCATTCAGTGGTATAGTGTAAGCATATTTTACATCAACAAATGCACCTCGGGAAAAAAACATATTTGAAAATACGATGCAAATAAGATTATATTCATAAAAGTAACAAAACATATAAAATAGCTAAGGAATAAACTCCAGAAATATACACAACTTAAATGAATAGTAATATAAACCTATTAAGGGACATAAAAAAGATTGGAATTAAAGGGAAAAACACATCTTATTCCTGGATCAACATTCTTTTCTTAAACTAAAGCTTTCTTTCTGTACATTATTCTGAAGATTTTGTAGGGCTGTGAAAAAAATGATTTAGATTTTAGAACTACAGAGTAATTGAGAGTCTTAAATAAGTTGGTTAATTTACTGGCTAGTTCCTAAAATTCCTCTGATATTTAAAACTGGATGGACTCCCTTTCCATACTGTGTAATCTGAGAGATTCAAGTCTGTTTTATTCCACAACATCTAAAGATTATATCTGAACTAGTATTCATCAATTTGTTCTGAGACTTTCTCAAATCAAACTCAATTTCAATCTAGTTAGATCACAGAGTAAGAATTAAAAGAGAAAAAAGCAGTAAAAAAAAATTCAGTGTAATATTGATCTGTAGTATCCTATTCTGTGGCCAGAGCAATTTCTCTTGCTGTTACTTGCTGTAGTTATTGTTTTGTTTGTTTATTTGGGATTTTTTTTAATGGAAAAGATGGCTTCCCTACATAAGGGAGAGATGGAAAGACATATGCCAGAGACTGCAAAATGTCAGCCTGAGGGCCACATCCAGCCTATGAAAAAATAAAGTTTTCTGACCTAGCCAGGCCTTTCAAAATCTTTTAATTAGTTGCTAACATTTGAAATTCAGGAAATTTGCATAAAAATCTCAATCTCTGGTGTATTGGATCTTTCTATAGGCACAGCAGTGAAGGGGGGGTACTACCAACAATAATGGAGTAAATCAGAAATTTTAGGGAAAAAAACTTTTGATTTCAACACATATGCTTTAGAAATATATTTATTTTGAATGTCATTTGGGAATGAATGGGGCATTATAATCTTTTTCAGACTTTGGATCTCTAAAGGTCTTATTCTGAGCTTTATTTCTGATTCCTCTTTAATAATCAGAAAATTTGGCCACACTGGGCTGTAATTCCCAATTGTTGACCTCCACCAGGTGAGACATTCACAGTTCTCACCACTTTTTAATTTTCTTATACCCCTCTGGTCCACTCGTCCAGACCACTCTTTCAGGTTGCTTGTCTGGTATGCATGACATTTTAGTTTGGGGTCCCTGGCACATACACAAACAAGGAATTTTACTTACTCTTTCGACCTTTTAAGTAATCAGGGTCAACCAGGACTACACCATCTGTGGAGAGGGAGAGACAACAGGCACCCTGGTCAGGAATAGTCCTCAGACCGTGAAACAGAAGTTGATCCCTGAATGGTTCCTCCGATTTTCCCCTTTAATTGGCCTCCTCTTCTGTGTGGTCCTTTCTTGGCTTTCTTTTACTCCCTGGCTCCCATTCCCTTCTCCCCAGGCTCTTTCCCTTTTTAAACTCACTGACCAATGGGTTCCACCATGTCCACATGGTCCACGAAGTCCCGTTTCCCCAGGTAGATGGAGAGCTGTTGTGGAACAACCTCCCATGTTACTCTTATAATCATCTTTGAATGGATTCCCCTGATGCCCCCAACCCAAACCCCTGAGACCTCGAAGGATGTACCCACCTATCCCTTTTGCCCTCTCATTTGCCCAGCTGGGCCAGGTTCTCTCACCTTGCCATTGGAGCAGGTCTTCTTAAATACCCTATGAGGAGGAAATCATAGG